AACTTGGAACTTGTGAGAATCGTTTAGACCTATTCAACATCTTCTTTCTGTTTAATGATGCTTTCTGTGGTGGGAATAAAGTGTGTCATAATTTTTATGCAAACTGTGTAATCAAATTCATTGACTCATTTGTATTTTATAGCTATTCAGAACAAGAAAAACTACAAGTAGGAATAGATGAAATGATGTTGTGTGTCCACTTGTATAAATATGACATGACATGACATGCCAGTTATGTGCAACTTCTTACAATATCTTACCATATCATTAATCATATTAATGTCAGGCCCGATACACATTTTAATATGCACCCACCATGCCATATAGCACCGTCCCTTGGTGCCTCCTGCAGTTCAGCTAGATATATTTAGCCTACTCACAGAATTCTTTTTTTTTTGTTTCTCTCTAGAGGTGTGCCTGAGACGAAGGTTTTTTATATATACTCCTATATATATACGAATATGTGAAAACTGTTGTTTCTTATTTGTGTTTGTAACTATGTATACTGTATTGTTCATTATATTTGTAAAAATAATATTATCATGATATTATATTATGCTCCTTGTGAGCCCATTTGATGGAAATAAAGCATCTTCTTCTTCTTCTTCTTCTTCTGTATAAATATATAGATAATTATATATAGTTAGTTATCTTTATAAATACAAGTGGACACACACAACCATTTCAGCTATTCCTACTTGTAGTTTTTCTTGTTCTCAATAGCTAAATACACATGATTCAATAAATGAAATTTCAACGTTGATTCAAATTTTCAAAATCAAAAATAAATTTGACATTGCTTCAACGTTGAGAAACAACATTGTTTCAACGTTGAATCAACGTTGAGTGCCTGCTGGGATCCTACCGCTAGGGTTTCTGAAATTGTCCTGTTATTAAGTTACCTTTAAAATAAAAACACAAAGTTCTGTTCAGTTGGAATACACAGATCTGTTTTTGTTTATTATAGTATAATACTAAACATCAAATTAAAATACAAATAAAAATAGTAATAATTAACAAATACAATAAAGTTGTAAATGAATCAAATGACATTGATCAAATTAAGCTTTCCCTTAAATTGATAAAATTAAACGAGTCCATTGTTTCTATTTTCAGATTACAGTTTTCACTTATTTCACAAGTTCACATTTTTAATGTCTCTGAAATATTTCTCGTATCATAGTAACAATTATTGTTCATGTATATTGTTCATTTCCTGAAAATGAATTAAGTATTAAGTTACCTGAAAAATAAATCTGATTAGTATTTCTTTTTATAAACTTTTAATAATATGTTAAATTTGATTTTGAACTTTAAAAACAATACATAGATTGAATATACACAAAATACATAAAATACTTTAATATATTTGAAAATTAAATCAATATAGTATTACTTTTCATTATATTGTATTCTAAGCATGAAAATAGAAAACTAATGTTGTCACTTTTCTTAAAGTAAAATAAAAATACATGTATAAAAATAATTGAGTTTAAAAATAAACTTTTAACCATAAATACTTTCTCAATTTAAATGATTAAGTCGTTCCAAAAAATGTGTAAAGTCTACTAACCTTTAAAATAACAAGAGTGCACACGCTGAAATGTCTCGCCTACTATACTGACCATTGATTTTATGTTGATAGTCCTACATATAAAGTTTTACTACAAGTATCACATTAACATTTATGATCCAAGAAAATGAGGTCAAGGTCAGATAAACCAAGCCGGAAATACATGTACACCTTTAATACAATCCCTCCATACACAGAATAGTATAAAAGAAACAGACCAAACCATGGAAATTCTATACTGACCAATGAACCATGAAAATGAAGTCAAGGTCATTTGAACCCTGCCAGACAGACATGTACACCTTAAAATCATTCCATGCATCAAATATAGTTGACCTATTGCTTAAGGTATCTAAGAAAAAAAGTTAACCAGGAAAACTGAACATTGACCAATCAACCATGAAAATGAGGTGAATGTCAGATAATTCCTGCCAGATTGACATGTACATCATTAAATATTTCCATAAACTAAATATAGTTGACCTACTGCATACAGTATTAGAAAAACAGACCAAAACACAAAAACTTAACATTTAGCAATGAACCGTGAAAAAGAGGTCAAGGTCAAATAAAACCTGCCAGACTGACATGTACATCGTAAAATATTTCCATACACCAAATATAGTTGACCTACTGCATACAGTATTAGAAAAACAGACCAAAACACAAAAACTTAACATTGAGCAATGTACCGTGAAAATGAGGTCAAGGTCAAATAAAACCTGCCAGACTGACATGAACATCGTAAAATATTTCCATACACCAAATACATTTGACCTATTGCATACAGTATTAGAAAAACAGACCAAAACACAAAAACTAAACTATGACCACTGAACCATAAAAATGAGGTCAAGGTCAGATGACACCTGCCAGTTGGACATGTACACCTTACAATCATTACATACACCAAATATAGTATACCTATTGCTTATAGTATCTCAGATATGGACTTGACTACAAAAACTTAACCTTGTTCACTGATCCATGAAATGAGGTCGAGGTCAATAGAAAACTGTTTGACAGGCATGAGGACCTTGCAAGGTACGCACATACCAAATAAAGTTATCCTATTACTCATAATAAGAGAGAAATTAACATTACAATAAATCTTAACTTTTTTTTCAAGTAGTCACTGAACCATGAAAATGAGGTCAAGGACAATGGACATACGACAGACGGAAACTTCATATCATAAGGCATCGATATACAAAGTATGAAGCATCGAGGTCTTCTACCTTCTGAAATATTAAGCTTTTAAGAAGTTAGTTAACGCCGCCGCCGCAGCCGAATCACTATCCCTATGTCGAGCTTTCTGCGACAAAAGTCGCAGGCTCGACAAAAACACAAAGTTCTGTTCAGTTGGAATACACAGATCGTACACCAACTGAACAAACTTGTTTATATAGTACCCGGAGATATTGTCCCATTAATCAAATAAAGTAATAAATGTAGGTACTAAACTTTTGCATCTTTGAAGTGAATTACCCTTATTTAAATTCTAAATCTCCCCAATACACTTAAAAGTAACACGTGTAATGGGGTTTACGTAACATGGAAGTGTTAACTTACATCATAAACCCCACTGGCTAAATTTGTACATGGTCTATAAAATTTTATACATGGTCATTTATCTCTGGACAAGTGCAACTAAACTATATATACAGTATACTTCAAACTTTGAATAATATTTGATGAAAAATTCTCTATAATATATACACACACTATTTAAATTACAAGAACGTATGCATTTCTTTAAAAGTACAAAAATAAATGCTGAAAAAAAGAATTCTATAACAAATAAAGAGCTGCGCCATGAGCGCATGATACGCCCGTCGTTTTTTTCAAAGAATAAAGTTCCATAACTCCTCAATGTCATATCAGAAATTTATAAAAACTAAAGGGAGGTTATTTTAATAGATGTAAACCAGTCACCAAAGTGTCATGAAAACCACTCAAAGCACTTTTGAGTGAGTGTCCGAAAATTGGAAATTCACCCCTTTTTTATGAATAAAATCCCATAACTCGGAAACTTAAAATCTAAAATTTATAAAAATCGAGAGGGAGCTTACGTCAATAGATATAAACAATTCACCAAAGTTTCATGAAAACTGCTCAAAGAATATTTGAGTTATTGTCCGAAAACTAGAAAATCCCCCTTTTTTAATGAATAAATAATATTTGCTATAATTGATATTCATGATTCTAAATTTCTTTTGCATCTAAAAAATAATGAATTTGTGATTAATTTCATGAAACAAAACAAAAATAAATAGATTAATAATTCAAAGGAAAAATCAAAATATAGCCTTCCAAGACGTCATAATTATTTTGACGTGTTTATTAAAATTATAAAATCAATCTGATTTGATTCTATCGATTTGAAGTTGAGAATTATGTGTAAATTAAGGTTTTTTGTTGAAAGGTAGCAGATGCCGGTCCAGGATTTTGAAAAGGGAGGGCCCACGGCCCCAAACTAGACAAAGTTTCCAGTGGAACAGGTAAAAAGTCTGCATTAACCATAAATGTAGCTCCATGAGGGGGAAGGGGCGGGCGGGCACCCTACCCCCCTAAATCCGCCTCTGGGTAGTATTACGTTATATGCATGCAGGCAACAGACCACACAAAACGTGAAATAAACTCATCATAGATACCAGGATTGAAATTGTGTATGCCAGACTACAAAAGACTCATCAGTGACGTTAGAATAAAAAAAAAGTTAAAAGGGCCAAATAAAGTATTAAGTTGAAGAGCACTAAGCCGGGACCACAAATTCCTAATAGTTTCAGTGCCAAATACAGCTACGGCAATCTATTCTTGAGATGGAAAAACCTTAAAATTTCGAATATTCAAAGTTTTGTAAACAGTTAATTTATAATTATGACGATATCAATCAATAATTCATGTCAACACAGACGTGCTGACTACTGCAGTACTGGGAAATACAGACGCCATACATGTACAAATATCACAGAATGCATGCAGTCCTTTTTAAATAAACACCTGGGACATTTGAGTCCTCCGGGGACCTCTTCCCAGAAAACGCCTATTGATCAAGTAGTTGTTTAAGACAATTTAAAGACTTTTCAAGTTCAATTAAAGAAAAATGTTGGTTTTAATAAAATGAGTACAAAAATAACCTGATGCAACTATCAGTAAAATTATCCGCCAAAATTCCTACACAGTATATTTATAAAAAATAAATAACTAAAGATGAAACAAAACAAAATGACATAAGTTGACTGAATCGACGACAGTATATGCTCCTGCCCAACCAGATGCTGCAATCATTGGGAAATTCATTTGCCTATTTATACCGATGGCGTAGCATTTATTTTTAGACTTAAAATGGAATTCAGAAAACCATCAGTTCTATTTAAAGATGAATTGTAAATTTAGATCTATTAATAAACTGTGTTTTCCCAATGTAAATTCTCGGAATAGACTTAAAGAAGGTCACATGATCTTTTTCATATATATTTAGTCTCGTTTCAAGCATCGAGTTTACATTTTCAATAGAATCGTCTTAGCATAAGGTAAGATATTTCATTCATTAGCTCTGAAATTTCTTTGTTTTATTTGTTTTTGCATACTGGTTATTTAAGTATTCAACATGCAAGCCTACTAAATAGTAAGCATGGCAAACTTTGGCATACAGAAAAAAATCCCCATCTAGAGATGGGAAAACACCGATTCAGTTTTGCTTTCAGTTTGTAGATTTTTTCAGTCACTCGCTCGAACTGTATACATTGAAGTGTGCTAGCCTACATGTACAAGGTCCATGCAGTGACTATAGGTCTGACTGGTCGAGGCATTCCACGAAGAAACTTTAACTCGGTTTGAAATAGGAAAAGAACCTTTTAAATTTTGTTTGTGTTTTTTGAAGAAACATTCTAGCATTGCTGAAGTGTATTTTTTTAAATTATTTTGTCAGAAAAAAAATCTTCGCACGCTCTCTGAAATAATTAAATTAAGCTTTATACGTGGTATAAATGCCCTCTATAACATCTGTTCATATAACCTTTATAATATGACTTGATAATCTAGCACGTACTACATCCATCTCTCCAAAAATTCGGTCAGGAGTAAAACATTAACATAATAGTATATACCTTTGTTTATATGTTGATTTATACCCGGCAATGCCTACCAATGGCAATTTAAGAACAAAAAATAAATAGATAAAAAAACATCCGAATGAGCTTTCGAATGTTGTTATCGCAATATTCATATTAGGTTGTTTCAGAAAAAAACAGAAAATTCATGGAGGCATTTATCCTTTATTTCAACAATTTTGTTTTGTAAAATATGGTGGGCTTTAAACGCGTGATTATAATTATATATTACTGATATGTTTTTTACGTCTCAACTATCGCGATACTTGGAAGCTTAAACCTATTTAGGCTATGCTGGTGATTTGACAATACTGTCATCTGATCTGTTCTAGCCGATATATTTTATTGACTAAGCATTTTATATCTTTACAAACACAAATGTAAACTGGCAAGAAGCCAGCCTTTTAAATTTATAGATTTTATTGTTATCAAGGCCGACTTTGGTCGGTAAAAACTTCCTGGTTAAGTACTGGAAGTTTAATAAGCAGGTAAATTTTTTTATTATGCGTGCTTAATATTGTCAACGAATACATAATCTGAAATCTATGTTTATATCATGTATTGCAAAGCATACATAAAATACATAAAAATCAACTTAGGGGTGGGGATGGGGTGAGAGGATTAACGCATCGCACTACATATATTCAACACACAACTATGCACAAACCAGTTTTTTTTACAGACTATTTTTCATTAAAGAAATGCATTTTAAATAACAGTTTAATGTCATTGAGTTTCTTTATTTATAAAATATATAATTGGTAGAAATAACTATAATACTTAAGTTTTTGGCAAATATGCACAGTTTTACTTTATTGGTAAATAGTTGAAATTATAGAAGCTCGTCTTTAAATTTAATTTTACATTTCAGTTTAAATCAAAACACAACAATGAAGAAGAGTCACAAAGGAAGCAGTCGGCATTCAGTCGGTGCTGGACGGAAGCCTATCAGGCCAATTGAACGACAGAAAATGCGGCCTTGGTTGTATAACTTATTAATGAATGAGGACGTCCTAAGTATCAAGTGGGAGTCGAAAAGAGAGGCTACATTCAGGATTGCCTGGAGGCATGCAGCTAGACAAGGCTGGAACCCACGGGATGACGCTGATTTGTTTGAACGTTGGGCAAGACATACAGGTATTATTTCTGTTATTTCTATCATGTCACTGCATTTGCAGAGTCATAATATTGCATTTTATACATAACTGATTGCTGGACGTGATTTCCTTCCTTCCATAACACAAACAGTCAATTTCAAATGCTGACCAGACCTATAGTATTTAGATACGATTACTGCGTGGGTTTTAAAAATATTTACCATAAAATCTGGTCAGGTTAATTGCAGACAGTTCTTATGATGTGCAGTTGCTTATTCTTTGTATTTCATAGACAATATTAACCATAATTAGAAAATGTTTACTTGGTCTACATACAATTTGAAGTAATACAGGAAAACAGTAACTCCAATTCAAAAAATTACAATAGTGAAATGGAAGAGTAACTCGTTACATGTATTTATAACTAAATGGTCGAATATTTGTTTTAAATTCTACTTCAGAAAGAAAATGTTTTTTTACTCGTTTTTTAGGGAAATTCATGGACGGCGACGAAGCAGATCCTAAAAGATGGAAAGCAAATTTCCGTTGTGCTTTGAACAGCCTTCCTGATGTCGAGGAATTGAAAGATAGGGGTCTGAGAAAGGGAAACAATGCGTTTAAAATTTACAAATTTCTGGACGAAAAGAAAATGAAATCAAAAAGGAGACAAAACAGTAATTGTAGAGGTAATTATGGTTACAAATATATTTTTAATTAATTGTTAGTTCATCACTTTAAATCTAACGACATATATTGCCTTATTTTCTATTGTTCACACTGTTTTAGCATTTTGCCACTGAATTAAACACCCTTTACAAATGCAGTAGCCATTTATATATGTTAAATTTCCCAAAATTGTCATGAATTGTAATTACTGATAATTGTACATTTTGATTACAGAAACTGTATGTTCACCGAAACGAGCATCCAAACGTCTGCAGGATAAACCATGTCGTCGTTTTTTAAACGACAGTGAGTCGGAGGACGACGAGGACATGTCGGAGGATTCAGATGAGGTATGTAAAGTCTTTGTATTGCTAACGTGCTTCTATTAAATAAGGATAGGAAAATGTCTTTATTGAAATGAATTGTTCGGTCTTTATAGCATTGATTTGACATTTAGCTTCGACTATATTGTGACCAAGCAAAAAGATGCTTCTCTTATTATTTTGGACTTCTACTTGAAATTTACAATTCTGACATGTTGATCAAAAGTTATGGATAAGAAATGTAAATAGAAACTAAAATATAAAATAAATAATTAAACATAATGAATTTAAGTCCAAAATGTCAGAATTGTAAATATTTCAAGTAAAAGTCCATAATAATAAGAGAAGCATCTTTTTGCTTGGACACAATATTCCGATTTATTTGCTTAAAAGAACCAACACTAGTCATAAAAAAAATTTCCATTCATAAAATTCTAAAGAGATATTTGTTACTTATAAATATATGGTATTTTTATTTCTAGTGCCCATCACCAAGACGACGGGATTCAGATGAAGTGTCAACATCTGGTTCTGAGCCCGAGTTGATATCTGAACGGTATTGTCGCTTTTCAACAGATAGCAATGAACTTCCAGTGTTTGAGAAGATTTGTGGAGAATCTGGTACGTAATTTCCGTCTTTCCACATTAACTTTTCAATGAAAAACAACTGACACCATCGTAATCTTAACTCGTTTTGATTTCTGGTGAAGTGTAAATGTTTGTGTTCACTGATCCTAGAACGGTAGAAATGTGTATATTACATATGATTAGAGGAAATTAGACTCCATGAAAACAGATAATTATCAGTTCATGTATTTTTTAAAACTTATGTAATCGTTAAGTCTGAAGTTTTATGTTGTCCTTCGTGTAACGAACACTTGATATTATCTAAAGGATATATAAAAATCGATTAAGAAACCGTGGGTTACCAGAACAAAGGCTGAAAAAACAATATTCCTATTCATGTGACATTGCTAGTTTGTTAAGTTGTCATTAAAATGTAATTTTTCTTTTTTTTTCTTTTTCAGATTTATCCATTTTCAAGTCTGAAAATAAGTGCCATAATTTAAACTATAACCAACAATACATTGCATTACCAGACAACACTGTGGCTATTTATAATACACAAAGAGGTAAGAATATCGTCAATTTTGAAATATGACCCGAAGCACAAATTTCCTTACTTTAATATTCAAATTTCTTGGGATTAAACTAAGAAAAGCAGAAAAAAGTGTGAAGCTTCTTTATATACGTGATTGCCAAGGATTATCTCCACATACCAAAGTCGCAATATAATCTTTTGAAATTGTTGAGAAATTTTATTCTGACGAAGTCTCAATGATTACTACAAAACTGTTACAATATAAAATAAAGTGAATTTTCTTTGAATTTCAGATGATGACAATTGTAGTACAGAGAGTGATATGACTGAAGAAGAATTAGTTGAGGTATTTTTCATTACATGCCATTACTTAATTTTGTTTGCATGCTTTGGGATTGTATTTACAATTTCCGGAATTAAAAACGTGTTTTTTAAGCTTCTTCTGCAGAAATGTTAATGATAAAGCCAAATAATAATACTTAATGTAGTATATTATTTTAATTTAAAAAGCTTTTGTCAAGGACCGTATAGACCACTATATTTCTTTCTATATTTTCAGTTAATTTTGAACGTAGAAAGTCCAGGAGCCAGAGAGATTGTTGAGATTAAAGATGAACCAATTGATATTTGGTCATCTGTGGCAGCTGATGTTACCATTGGTAAGTAAAGTAAACATTTTGTCTCAGTGGCGCACATCACAAATACTCTTATAATTATATAATATATATATATAAGATCTTATTATACTTAAAACCATGCAAGTATTATATTACTTCCATGTTAAAACGAACCCGGGAGTTCTTCGGTTGCATGATTTTAGACATGCTAAACCTATGACCATAATTCGTTCGCCACCACCACACCATATCAATCATTGATGTCGAAGTACTTTTATGATTATATGAATTCAAAGTATCCTTGATATCCGCGGTCGTGCAGGTTACAATCTTGTCATTTAAATCTGTCGATAAAAGGGTTAAAAAGAGGATCCAGGACTTCATATAATAGCAGGGTTCAGGTTCATCTCTGTTGTTGAGTCATTTTCATATCTCTCAGTCGTGTAGCTTCACCTTGACATTAACTGCAAGTTTTCTTCAAAGATATCTATGTCAGTATTGGTTAAAAAAATTTGGGTCTTCTTCCTGTATAGTTAAATATTTTATCTCTTAATTTGCCAAAAAATATGAAAAAGTACCAAATTTTGACAGATTGTTCAAATAACATCTGAATACAGAACGCTGTTAAGTTTTGAGATGTTTATATTGTAGGAGAGGACATGGAACAGGATATGTTAGATGGTTGTGTCATAAATGAAACAGAAAACGTTGTCACACAACAAATCATATGTGGTGGAGATATGGTAAGTTTATTTACACTTACTTAATGTTATGTAAAGGGGATTCATGATTGAGGGAAAAGGGGAGGGGGGCTAAAAAGGGCCTAAATGAAATTTGAGTTTAAGCAGCATGATGGAGGGTTTGGGAGAAAGCTGAAACGTCAAGAGTCACTGTGGAGATATATAGGATAATTCGTCGAGTGTTTGATTAAAGCGAAGAAAGCAGAATAGCAGTGGTATGTGAAAGAAGGAAAAGCTTGGAACTGTCGAGGAGACAATTTATGTAATGTATGGGTCTATTTGTTGAAATTTATATCCATTGCAACAAATGAATATACCAAAAGGAAAACTTGATGATAAGAATAAAGAAAATTCTCCAGCTATAATGGGTAATGTTTATTCAAATGTAGCAGTAAGCCATTTCTCATTGTGTTATGTATACACTTACACAGTCTTTTATATTTTCAGGGTTACACAAGTCTGGATCTTTCATTGATATGAGCATTGATGTCTTTAACTTTGATATCGTAGACAATCAAATGTTACATGTAAGGCGTGCCATCATAGGATAGACTTCTGTCAAAGGAACACTGTGATAAACATTGCAATTCAATGATATGACTTTTCACCTTGTCATACTAAGTTACCTTAAATTTGAGAGTTTGAATTCATCTTTCCTTCGGGCACGCAGTCACAAAACAACGTGTTGGATAGGAGATATGACAGCGGCGCACGGAGGAGGACAGCCATTGGATGATCTATAATTCTCTTCAGTTTTTAATTCATGTGAATTGGATAGTGTGTGATGATGACAATAGTATATTCATTATTCATAATCGTCATATAAACTTGTGCAATGTGTGAATATTTCATTCTGACTAGTCATAAAAGGACCAGCACTTCATGTATCATAGTACGATGATTAGACCAGACAATGGACCTTTATCATTCGTGGTGCAAAAGTGTAGTAAAATGTTGTATCAATAAAATTATTAAAGAAAATATTTGATTTTCATTTCTTACAATTGCCAAAAATGCAAATTGTAATGTACAGATATCAAACTCGTATGTATCTACCATTAAATGATATATACATTAACACATACACACATTCCACAAGGACAATCATTTTGATAACAAACAGTTCAAAAATTAATAAGCATTGGATGATTAGAGCATAAACATTTGAGAAAGGAATTTAAAGTAATATTAGTTATGGTACCTTGTTTCCTTTTTTCGATGGTGTTGTCAGTTTACTGTTAAAAAATGAAACCATAATAGAACTTTTAAGTCAGATACCTATGGAGAAAGGGGTTCTAACTCTTATTACCTAATGAGCATTTTTAAGATAGTGACGTTGTGTCCTACTAGCAGCAAAAACCATCAGAAGCCTGCATTTATGTGAAAAAAAGACTTCAGAATTGTAGTTTTCAAAAGGAGAAAACTCCCTCTTAAAAAAATGGAAGATTATTCAAACACTGGTATATACTCCAGTAGGACATTCGTTCGGCATCTGCCATCAACGAAGAATTCCTTCTAAATCAGTGGATGAAATTTTAAATGAAATAATGAATCTCCCACCTTTTGATGGCGTAACATGCACCTGCAATATATTGAACACATTTATTTGGAATATTCCATAACAAATAAGGACTTGTGCTCCGGCGCAACTCCTCAAGAAAATGGATTAAAAAAATAAACCATTAAAAGGATGATATCTCATTCGCAGTTTGTCAGTTTTACTTTGTAGGGTGATATCTCATTCGAAGTTTGTCAGTTTTACTTTGTAGGGTGATATCTCATTCGAAGTTTGTCAGTTTTACTTTGTAGGGTGATATCTCATTCGCAGTTTGTGTATAGGGTGATGTTTCATTCGCAGTTCCTGATGAACCAAGGATTTGCATGATAACTCTAATCAGTTATCAAGTACAAACTGCAGCATGCACCTTCTTTTTTATTTTCGGTAGAATGGATTTCGATATCATATATTTAAAGCAGTATTTCAATTGCATTTATTTTTTATGAGGGAGGGGTTATTATTTTTGAGCTCTGGCAACTGATAATAATTGTTGTCTTCAAATTGGAACCCTTACTCGTTCTTCAATCTGCAAAACAAGATAAGTAAATAAATTAACGAAACAAAAATAACTACCCTCATCTGCATATTATTATATATATATATATATATCCTTCCTTAACATTGATAAAACAATCGGTGTCCGTTGAACCGTCTGGTGAGACGGAAACTATCGCTTAATTTAAGTAAGTGATTGTACGAGATGTAAAGTAGGACACTTAGGTTTTGTACAACAAAATTCACAGATTTTATAGACACATACCTTGTTTACTACCTTTTCAAATTTCCGTGGCAACTTTAAAAGTAAAATATAATTTTTTTTTCTTCACCTAAACCAAAGGGAAAAAGACGAACGAGAACGAGAAAATCGCTGAAAACTGTCTAAAAACTCCAGAATAATGCAAATTGTACTATCAAATGGCACAAATAACTATCCCTAATCCGAACAGGACTGATTTGTATATTGGTTTCTATACTGCTATTGCATTGCAACTTTTAGGAGCTCAGGGTTAGTTGCAGAACCTCTCCAGGTGTCGGTTTTAAGCTTGTTGAAAAAAAATTATCCATTGCATGTGTATTTTAGGAGATCAAGGTTAGTTGCAGAACCTCTCCAGGTGTCGGTTTAAAGCTTGTTGAAAAAAAATTCCATGCATGTGCAAGGAAAAAACCGAACCAATCTATTTGCTTAACACAAAGACAAAAGTTTGTCAATAAATCAATATACATTTAGTTTTGATTCTAAGCATCAAGTAAAACTCTTATTAATTGTGAATAAAGAGCTCGACGACGAGAAAAACTTTTACCTACTTTTATATAATACAATAACAAATGAGTTGCACTTGTATATTTAAACATAAAATACACTTCCTTACATCTGAATAGTTAATATAAAAGTCCCAGCTTACATGCGTTTTATAATATCGATCAACATTGACATTGAATATACCAAAACAAAACAATTCAGCGTTTCCTATTATATTTCTGCATGTTCAGAAAATATAATAATGTCAAAGGTATATTTATTGACTTTGCTTTAAACTTATCTCACGTGTCATTCTATGTATACGTATGTAATATTTAACATGTTAATTATGCATGAGTTACGTCAGGTCAAATTGCATAGTTATCTGTCTTAGCCAGATAGATTTTCAAGAAATCAAATGTAATTTACCGGAAATCAGACTCCTTTTATAAAAATGAGCTTCTGTTTTTGTAAAGTGTTAGTTTGTATTACAGAAAATTAATTTTCTATATGTTTATTGACTGAAAATTCTAAACGATAAACTCCTTCCTATCATTGTGTGATCACAGATATATTTATCAACGTAGATACAAATATTTCCCCACATGTGCGGTGCATGTACACACGACAACACGATTGAAATGTCCTCACGACCCATTAGACCCGTTGAACGACAGCGAATGAGACCATGGCTCGAAAACCTCCTTAACAATAGATCTGTTGAGGGTCTAAAATGGACCGACCAGAAAATGAAAATATTTGAAATACCATGGAGACATGGATCTAGACATGGCTGGAATCAAACTAAGGATGCAGACTTGTTTGAGAGATGGGCTAAACACACAGGTATGACATTTTTTCTCGTACATGCTTTGATTATAGAACTCGATATATATCAAAAGTTTTCTGTATGTTTGAATAAGAATAGATGTGGATATACGTCAATGAGACAGCCATCCAACGACAAAAACAACAAAAAAGACATGAACATTTTTGACGTCTAGTATTTACCATTTACCATAAAAGAGTTCTGAGAAAGTTTACCATAAAAGGGGAGTCTGAAGTTTTCCTTTGTCAAAATTTTCTCATAAAAATTATGAAATACATCAATAGAAATAAATAGTTAATCTTTATTGAAAGACGATAACCTCATAAGTCCTAACTTAGGGAACAACCATTTAACATAAAAAAGGGGGTGATTATTTTTACAAACAACAACAGAAATTGAGTTCAAGAATTGCTTGAACAATCCCAAGCTTTACGAGAAAATATACGAGACAATATTTACATATCTGACTTGCTTTATTTTGAACGTAAGGTTGTCTTTGGTGGCGCATTCATGTGGTGTTTTTTTTTTTTTTTTTTTTTTTTTTTTTTTTTTTTTTTTTTGGGGGGGGGGGGGGTAGAGGATAGAGGACGTTATTTCATAGGAAAACACGCTCTCTTACTTTCTGAGCATAAATAAAATATTCAGTTTTGACTGGTAAGAAAAAAAATAACTGGGTTTGATCGTAGTTGAAAAAAAAAAGAAAAAAAACATGCCAATTGTTGAAAAAAATTCAAACCAATATGAAAAAACATACTCCCCGGCCCCTTTTGAAGTTAAATATGGTTGTTCTCCCTAATCTCCCTACAAGAAAAGAAAGGTCGAGATTTTAAGCACAAAACCATAAACAATATATATTTTGACTGGTCAATCACAAATTTTGAAATAAAAAAAAAGGATTTAATTTTTTTTTTTTTATATTGTCAAGGATAGAAGTTTTAAGCACAAAAATCAAGATATGTATTTTATTATTCCGATTTTACGTGATCACGAGAAAGAAAAAAATATAAAAAGAGGAAATGACTTAGGTGTTCTTTCCATTTTAGAATGTATTATCGGGTCATCCGAATGATGTTTTCCTGTTGGTGCCTTCAAGGTTTTGATTTAATCAAATGTAATGCCAACAAAATCCTTTCAAGTTTGTCCATTTGAAACAATGAATTTAAAAATTCAAAACATAATTTAAAGTTCAAAACATTTACCGGTAAGTGCGATTTTTAACTTTTGTCTAACATGTCTAAGTTTGAAAACAACACTGTCTTGTTTATAAATGCCAAATATTTTTCCAGATAATTATCAGATATTCATTTATATATTATAAGTTGTGATTTTTGTATTTTTCATAAATTGGGTTGTAAATTTCCGTCTTATTTTAAATATAGCGTTTTTCTTAAAAACAAAAATAAAATTAATAGTCTATTAAATGTATTTTGTTTTTAAGAATAATGCTATTTTAAAATCTTTCTTCAACGTAACTTTTTACTACATCTAACCATGAGCCATTATTTGTATTTTTTTCAATCTGCAAAGCGTGGACAAAGGACCTGTATTTTAACCAGATTGTCTGTTTTTAATTTGAATTACCCTAATGTTTGTTGATAACTAACTTTATTTTCCGATTAAGAATCGAAGAGCCAGTCTAAATAAATCTGATAATTTTCTGTAAAATCAGTACTACTAAATTCTTAGTCTGGGAAAATTGACTGAGCAATCCCTGTAGTACAATAGACTGATTTGTGTGATTTTGAAGATATCATTGTCATTATGATAGCAAAGAAAATAGCAGGGTAACAAAGTTAACAAAGGAACGCTTTTTCAATCTAGCATTACAGATTAAAAACAAAGACTGATGTGCACCAAAAACACAGGCATGTGCTTCCCGTAGAAGGTTGGTCTATTCAGGCCTGTACTTCCCATAGTAGGTTGGTCTATCCAACTAATAGTAGCGGTGAAATTAAGCCCCAGTGAATTGTTCAAATCTTCATTTTACTCTTTTGTTCAATTCAAAGTTTCATTTTTTGTCGACCATCTATTTCTCGCGAGAATTTGGGACCTCTTTCTATGATGTCTACATTTAAATTGATAACTCTTGTTAAAATTTTGATGCATTTTGTTTCTTTACTTTTATTATTATTATTATTATTTTTATTTGTTAATTTTCAAAACTGACGTTCTGTCATTAACATTTAAATCAGAAATTAAAAAGTCGCAAAATGGGGGTTCCATTCTTCCATTAATATATATACGCAGTCGCCAGACGAAACATTTAGAATTTATTAAAAATATTGAAAAATTGGTGCTGCACAAAAAAAGGAGAAGATTCCGTCAAGTTACAATTCACACCTAGAAAATATTCCATTTTTTTTAATTGGGCTAATTTTTAGCACAATTTCAAGATTATGTAGAGGCCATGATATGGCCCTTATTTCAGAGGTAAATATGTAAATAAAAAAAAAGACATGTAGATATTCAATGTCTAGTTCTTCCCTGATGTTCGATGTCTAGATATTCCCTGATATTCAGATTTGTACAGCTGGCATCGGTTTGTTGAAGAATTTTCCGTATTTATCTCTATTTAGCATTGAAAATTAAAATATATATATAAATATATATATAATAAAACGATTTTTTTAAATTAAATAATTTATAGAAAGTCCTTCTTCACAAAATGCATTTTTCACGGTAAGCCTCATTGGCAAAAGAAAGTAAATGTTGAAGGAAAAATATAGTATTATTATGGAAAAACTGATACAAGAAAAAGGGAAAAGGAAAATAATTTCAACTGGAATGGTTTAATTGACAATAACTATTTTTTCGAAAAATGACATAGTCTTTATATATATTTATCAAAAAAATGAAAATTGTGAAATGTTAAAAATATATTAAATTGTTTTATTTCGGATGTCCATATTTGAATGTTTATCCTGTGGCAATTGCAAATTTGCACATATCTTTAGTTAGAAATTAAATAATATATTATAATTATATATAGAACCATTTATATTTATATTTTAAATGAAAAGAAAAAGAGATGGAAAAATAGACCTCTTATTGTCTAGCATTCATTTGGGTTTCCCAAATACAAACTTGGTTGGTTATGCACACAATGACTGTTCTGATATTGCAGGACGATTTGAAAAAGGAAAGCCGAATCCAAAGAAATGGAAAGCAAATTTTCGATGTGCATTACATAGTTTGACGGACGTCGAAGAAGTTATCCCCAGGAAAACTGACCGAGAAAGTAAATGTACTAGAGTGTATCAATTTGTGGATGATACCAAACAGAAAGCACGTGGTGGGTACTGACACGGCTTGTCACCTTTTTTTTTTTAAAACATTTTAGTTGTAGTAGTAGACAGGTTCAGCATCTTAAAAATAAATGATTCTGAGGGAGTTGAGCTGTTATGGGCTATATATTTTTCTTTTCAACTTCAATCGAAGACAATTTCTGTCTGCCTTCTAAAGTTTTTATGTTTATAGCAATTAATAAATGAACAGTTCTCTTCTTTTTTTATTAAGAGTGAATAAAAAAGTTTCACGTTTTTGTTTAATTTAGAGGGACGCCGGCTGTACAGACGACGAAAACTGTCATCAGAATCCGATATTTCATCTAAAAATAGTGCAGACAGTACTATAACATCATCACCAACGAAATACACGAGCGATGATGATGTGTCCTCCTCCTCTCCTGAATACAACATTACCAGAGATGCAAAGAAACGCAAGATAGATGGAGATCTTACTAAACATTCCAATTGTAACAAGTACACGTGTATTGAGAAAAGTGAAGCAAAATCACATAAATTAAAGTACAGTCCACACCACGTAGCATCCCAAGGACCAACCAATGAACAAATTCTACCACTCCCAGATTCTACATCTCAACTAGATTTTAAGATTTTTCTGGTATGTTGACAATGTGAAAAGATCAGTTAGGTTCAAGTTATACAATAATTATAGAATATAAAGATGTGAATTTCCCCAAAATTTTAACCCAATCCTTCACCATCTTCGCTAGCCAAGGGTTACGATCCAGTCTGGACTGAAGATGACCCTTCACCTGCATAGGATTTTTATACTAATGTCATTTTAAAAAGAGGTTGGGGCCAATTTCCCAAAAATTTTAACCCAATCCTTCGCCTGCATGGGATTTTCATAATAATGTCATTTCAAAAGGAGATAAGGGTCAATTTCCCCTGAATTTTAACCCAATCCTTTGTCAGTATGGGAATTTCATACTGAGGTTATTTTCGGAAAGTCATTTAAGCTTTACTAAAATTTACAGGCTTTACTAAAATTTACAGGCTTCATGAACATGGACATGTAACCTAAATATAAATGTTTAAAGATAGCTACAAATGAATCTATGTTAATTCTGAAGGGTCAGAGTAATTTACATTTGACTTGCTGGAAGCCAAAAAAAAAATCAGACATGAACACAATTTTGTTTTCTGAACGAAATAAAAACTGGTGTACGTATGACTAAACTGGTGTTATTATTTTTTTTTCGGGAAAAAAGTTGTCAGCTCTTTTAAATTATACCAATATTTGTTTGTTGTTTGTATATATATATGTCAGTTTTATATTTATGAAAACTTTATACGACTTCTTAAAATCAAGTAACCAAGACGCATATTTTCAAAAAAACAAAAGTATTTTATGAAATTCAGTCAAAACTATGACCAGCTTGTCGAGATTGGTTGATAACAATGTATGTTGGTTTTCCTAGATTATTTCTTGAAAATGACTTGCCCTACTTACATGTATGTTAGTTGTTACAAATTTATAGTTCTTTTTTTTTATTTAATAAGAAGTTTAATATTCCTCTGTTAGCATGCCGGTTCCTTGCTGTTCAGTATGGGTGCAATCTGAAAATTTCGAATAATAAATAAGGCAAAGAAGACCAAGTGGATTTTAATTCAGATTTTCTTGTGGAAGTAGACAGGTTTTCCTTAACTCTATAATGTTGCCCTCTATTTTTAGGATGGTATAAAAAAGGAATGTCCAGACACTGAAGTTACAGAAATCACTCTACCGTTCAAACCAACATTTGGAGATAACTTTGGTGAGCATATACTTTGTTTTCACTCCTGATTTCTAAATCATGTCCACTTGACCTTCAAAGGATGAACATTTTTATTTAAAAAATTTAGCAAACCAATTGATGATTTTAATTACGGTTTTTCTATGCACCATTCCATAATTGTGCTAGAACATATATATATACTGTAGATACATTTGTGTTCTAAAAGCATACAACTGAAATGGGATACAAGTTGAAGAAAAGGCTAACTAACGTGAGGCTACCCAAATTGCACCTATTTTGACAGTTTTTTCAAATACGTTTATTTATGATCCAGACAAAACTTTCCATTCTGTGTTTATTTTGTAGATGTACCCTTATTTACTATATAGTTCCACCAATTTAATTTAATTTTGAATCCATATTGAATCATAGAACCGACCTCCAAACAATCCATGATACCCTTCGGAAACTTGCAATTCCATATAATTGTCTGTATAGATTTTAATGTAATTTAATAATTCAATTATAAGCTAAAAAAAATAAAACCAATGATTTTTACATTAGTAATTTTAAAAAAAAATTTTAATTAAATTTACGATACTGTAAGATCTACTAGTTTTTCAACGGTCAGATGAACTCTTATAACAAAATTGGTGTGCATATTTTTCTTGTATTTCTAATGAAATAAAAATGATATAAAGCGACAGTTAGATACTTTTTTCATTTTTTAGATATAGAAATAGACCGAGGAGTTTTGCTCAACCATATGAGTGGGTTTATAATGATTCAAACTTCAGGGTGTAATGAATTTACAGGGTCAAGTGCAATGGATTCAGGTTAGTTTTGAAAATAAATGACTGCTCAACTTATTTCATAAATATTAATACAAAATAATGAAGTTTTACTATTAATTTAATTACTATAAATGACATGTATTTCAACTCTTTTTCCCTTTATTACATTTTGAACACTCGTGTAATTTATTTCAAAATAGCCGTCCACATTTTTTTATCAAACTGCACATGCAATTTATTGAGACGCTTTCAATCATTATCATTTATTACAGATACCAACATTCCTACATGCAACGTTTCAAATGATTTTAAGGTATGTTGACATCTCTTCTCATATTCTTATGTTTTCTCAAATGTATGATGGAATTATGTTCCAAAGCCACATTCGGCCAGTCGTCATTTCCGTTTATTAATTCGAGGATGCATGCAATGGGAAGGAAGGGTTGATCGCCACATGTTCCTATATCTGTCCCAAGTCAAAAATGTGTCAATGAATGCACGGTGTCTTTAGTTATATCCTAATGGGTTTTTTTTGCCTTAAGGGAATTTTGTATTGATGACAGACCTTTGATAATCTCTGTTAAATTTACTGAACTCAATTCCATTCATCTCTTTCTACTTTGAGAAATCAACGTATTCAAATTTCAAGCATTTGAAAAACACAAGAAACCTATGACAATTTTCAGTTTGTTTCTGTCTGGGTCCTGGATAAATGTTATAAAATATGTTCGTGTTGTAAAGTTAAAATTGATTGCTCATCAAAAGGCCATAAATAAAATATTGGCAAGTTCTATTAATTTCCTGATGTGGTTGTATTTTGCTCCTTCGTATGTTTTAACATACTCATCCAAACACTAAAAAATTGATTGCTCATCAAAAGGCCATTTAGCAAAATACGGTATTATCAAATGTTATTATAAATAAAAGAATTTCACAACAGAGTATGATGTTTACCAGATTTTGTATGTAATGAAGTATTGATAGTGGCATTTTATTTTAATTATCTTTTATTTGTTTTCCTATCATGAGTTACTTGCAAAAGGGAAAATAATAATTGATAAAAAAAAATCTAGTAGAATCCAGAATCATATTAATAACCCGAGCTATTAGTTTAGTAATATAGTGGCTCCTACTAAAATTTAGTACAAATCCTAGTACAAATCTGGATATCCCACTGTCTATAATAGCAGATAGTAGAATTCTGATAAGTACTAGATGTTTATTAGTATAAATAAGAATTCCAATTTCTACAAGTAGATATAGGATTCCAATTAGTACTTGGAAGATTCTCAATCCCACTGAATTCCAATTTGTAGTGTAACATAAAATTGAGAATGGAAACGGGGAATGTGTCAAAGAGACAACAACTCGACCAAAGAGCAGAAAACAGCTCAAAGCCACCAATGGGTCTTCAACGCAGCGAGAAAATCAGCTTTAGCTGGCCCATAAACAAAAATGTATACTGGTTCAGAGAAAATGGACGTCACACTAAACTCCGAAACATATAAATGACCCAAAAATAAGAAAAAACATACCAGACTAACAAAGGCCAGAGGTTCCTGACTTGGGACAGGCGCAAAAATGCGGCGGGTTTATTCATGTTTTGTGAGATCTCAACCCTCCCCTATACCTCTACCCAATGTAGAATAAACAAACACCCAGCAATACGCACAGTAAAACTCAGTTTAAAAGAAGTCCGAGTCCGATGTTAGAATAGGTAACATGATTAGTCCTAGGTTTACAAAGGAAAGATTATGACTTCAAACATGGACACATTTAACATTTATTCTTTTTGTTTTTCACGCCGATTGAGTTACAGTGGTGTAACTTGCTGACACATTTCCTATGTATTTGTATAAGGTTATGTACCATTACATACAATCACGGAACAACTGACTATAAAACCAACAAATCATATAACAGCACTCCTACTCTCTATATTCTAGAATAAACCAAGTCTTTTCAATCGTTTTGTAGTTTTAATATAGAATTCAAACCAAAAAGCTCTCCTAAAGGGGAATCCAGCGAAACTATATTGGCAAGGGGTGAAGGCACAACACAATACATAGAACAGTATTTATGTGGATTTTCAAATATGCTTCATTAGAAAGGACAGAAACAAAATAAATTCTTGCTCCTTGGTGAATTTAAACGATTTTCATTCTTTATTGTTTTCTTATTTCTGTCATATTCTTTCCATTCATCTATTTTTATATTTATGCCACCTGTAGGATTTTAATAAATAAATAGGCAAAAATCTTTCATGAATATTCCGTTAAAACAGCTATACCAGGATCGACAAACATGCTGCAATGGTATAATCGGAATGAAAAGACGAAATGAACCGTACGTATTCACAAAAAGTGTGCGTCAAGATTTTCCACGAATTAAAGGTGATCATGCAAGACTTAGCAAACACTTCTGTTATTTAAAAAAAAACAATCTGCCCTGAAAACGACTCAGTGTTCACTGTAGTTATTGTTAAATGCAATATACATTCCTAATGAGGGGTGACTTAACTTGATAGACGTCTCGGTTGTAAGGTTTTCTCTAGAATAATCTTAGGTTCAATTTACTTTTCTGTAGGAGGTGCCTCCATCTGGTAACGAAACATTCCTCAACGATTCCACTGATGATGATTGTTCAGTCCCAGGTAGGTGCAAACTATTTTTGCTTGAATAAAATCTTAATCGGGTACATGGTACATCTACTCATCGGCTAAATTGACATAACAATCTGAGTGGGTTAAACAATATAAGCATGGTCGAAACTAAAGTAAGTTCGTTTTCTCAAAAAATAAAATAAATCCTTTGAAGGGTATTTCACTGATGTTATCTAAGCATTATTTTTTACTCTAGCACTTTCACTTCTAATGTAAACAACTACACGTAGCCAAACGGACTTCAACAATGAGCAAAACCAATACAGTTTGTAGGCATTTAAAGGTTTAAGCTCATGCAATAGATTAATGGCTACTTGCTTGAAATGACGCATGGAGAATGTGGCGAGACTATATCAAATAGAAATTGAATACAATGGAAAAATGACTGGTTTCACCTGGGAAAAGTATTAATAAATACGTCCAGGTTTCAAAAGCAGATTCAATATCATGAACCCTTACGCAATCCTAAATACGACTCTAAAAGTGAAATTCTGATAAATGTAGGTTATTTTTTTTTACTTTTTATAAATCCCACAGGTTAACAGCAGTTTTCAATCTGTATTCCTTTTAAGTTTGCATTTATATTGTTTCTTGACTGCATATTTATGATGACTTATTGAATGGATTAAATTAAAATTTAAATTCTTTGGATTGAGTCCTCCATTTTTTTAATGACAAGTTAAATTTTATTGCCATCCTTACACCTATATTTTTTTTAAATTTGCATTTGAAAAGAAATAAATTGAGTGTTACCTCCTGCTACTATAATTAGCCATATTTGAGTTGTACTGATATTTTGTCATATAAAGCTATATATTCTGCACCAAATTTCAGGGGGAAAATAAATAAAAATTATTTGCTTGCACCTCTTTTTTTTGTATCCCAAGACCTCCCCTAGCCCCAGAAACTTAACATCAAATTTATGTGGCATACACAGCATGAAGCTTGATTTAAATTTTCTTTTGTAGGTTCCTCAGACAGTTCACCAGAATACACATGTTTGTGATGCCACCTATCAAAGGGTATGTTCAATGAATAACTCCATGTATTGTCTTAGTACCTAGCACAATAAAACTTCCACCAATGATAATGTTTGTGATGCCACCTATCAAAGGGTATGTTCAATGAATAACTCCATGTATTGTCTTAGTACCTAGCACAATAAAACTTCCACCAATGATAATGTTTGTGATGCCACCTATCAAAGGGTATGTTCAATGAATAACTCCATGTATTGTCTTAGTACCTAGCACAATAAAACTTCCACCAATGATAATGTTTGTGATGCCACCTATCAAAGGGTATGTTCAATGAATAACTCCATGTATTGTCTTAGTACCTAGCACAATAAAACTTCCACCAATGATAATGTTTGTGATGCCACCTATCAAAGGGTATGTTCAATGAATAACTCCATACATTGTCTTAGTACCTAGCACAATAAAACTTCCACCAATGATAATGTTTGTGATGCCACCTATCAAAGGGTATGTTCAATGAATAACTCTATGTATTGTCTTAGTACCTAGCACAATAAAACTTCCACCAATGATAATGTTTGTGATGCCACCTATCAAAGGGTATGTTCAATGAATAACTCCATACATTGTCTTAGTACCTAGCACAATAAAACTTCCACCAATGATAATGTTTGTGATGCCACCTATCAAAGGGTATGTTCAATGAATAACTCTATGTATTGTCTTAGTACCTAGCACAATAAAACTTCCACCAATGATAATGTTTGTGATGCCACCTATTAAAGGGTATGTTCAATGAATAACTCCATACATTGTCTTAGTACCTAGCACAATAAAACTTCCACCAATGATAATTTTGACTGAAAGTGAAGAAATATTCTGTACAAAAAGTGTATAGTAATATGAGGAAGTGCATGTATTTGTCAAGCAGCTTGTTAAAAAAATTATCATGCAGTATAAATGTCCTAGATGAAGATTGGAACTTAATACAAAGAAAGCAACATTCACAGGCAAAACATGTATTAATGGTATAGGTATATGTCAGGGTATAGATCATCTATACAAAGCTTAGTTCAAAATTTCATAAAATACTACATGTGATTGATGAGGGAAAAAGAGATATAGACATGATGGCATAGTTGAACCATGTACCATCTTTCCTTCTATTAAAGTAGGGTTGCAATTATTTCAAAAATGTGAATCTAAGCAGGGTTGCAATTAATTCTCAAATGTGAAAATAAGCAGGGTTTCAATAAATTCACAAATGTGAATCTAAGCAGGGTTGCAATTAATTCACAAATGTGAAAATAAGCAGAGTTGCAATTAATTCACAAATGTGAATATAAGCAGGGTCGCAATCAATTCACAAATGTGAATCTAAGCAGGGTTGCAATTAATTCTCAAATGTGAATAATATCTTCATGTTGGGTCTGCCATCACTGACAAATGACCAATCAAAAATAATTTTTATTCACTATTTCATGCCATTTCAGGAAACAAAACTACAGCAACAGAGAATGAAATCAAAGTAAATTAATTGATGTTATACAATGGATGAGGAACATCATTTGATAAAAGATAATATTGTTTATATGAAGAAGAGTGGAAGACATAAACAAGACTGAAAGATTTATCATTAAAATAGAATGAGTGAACCAGAAAGGGAAATAACTTGTTAATGTGTTCATGAACCAGCATGGATTGTAATTTGAATAGATGTGAACAAGAACCAGCATGGATGATAATTCAATAGACGTGAACCAAAGATTTGAAAATAATTTGTTAGATGATGTGATCAAGAGTGGATGATAATTCGTTGGATGCAAGGCAACAAAAATGAAAAATAATTTGTAAGATGTGAACAAGAGTGGATGATAATTTGTAGATGTGAACAAGAGTGGATGATGATTTGTTAGATGTGAACAAGAGTGGATGATGATTTGTAGATGTAAACAAGTGTGGATGATGATTTGTAGATGTGATTGGTAATTGATTGACACCAAAAAATTTGTATGTGAAACCGATGTTTCAGTCCTCAATCTTCAATGATCTCTTTTTTCGGTTATCTGTGATATTTGATTAGGATGCTATTGTACAGGAAAGATGAGTATTCCACCACATAATACCTGACATATGTTGCAAACCATTAGCCCAAAATCTTCATTACTATTCAGACTTGGTTTAGAAGTCTTCTTCATGTATTTATATCATAAACTTAAAATTTTTGTGAAATTTGAAAATCTTATATTTGAAGTCAATTAAGATTAAACATTACTTTGAAAAACTAAAGGCTTGAAGTCAATTTGAGGTTTGACAAATATTTTCATACATTCGTGTCATTACATGTCATGCATTAAAATTAAACATTTACCTTTGCATTGCTAAATAATTTTGTTGTTGAAAAAGATGAAATGTTAAAGAGTTAGTAGGTTAAAGACAAGGGAAAGGCACTGGATGAACACCTTGAGGAGTATCCAACTGTTTTGGTTGAACTGTTGATTTTATATTTGATTATTTTTTGAAGTTTAAAAATTATTTTTTTTTTTTAAAATGCAGTGAAAAATTTCTTAAAATCCAGTACAAGATTGAACTAAGGGAGATTGAAAAGATTTAATAGGGTTGCCATTGATATTGGATCTGTAGACCTATTGTTTTGTTGATACAGGCGCTGTGGACATCTTACAATAAGTAAAGTGTAATAATAAAATCAATCTTTGGAATTTCCATAAGTTTTATCTGATGAGTACCCGTTATTAAAATTTTTACAACCTGATGTACTTTGAAGCATTATTAATGATATCAAAGTGAAAATTTAACAAGCAAATAAATTAATGGATGTCCAGTGTAGCCACAGATAGGGCTGACATTTAAAGGAATTAAGATTTGTCAGGATACAAGTTTACAGTTAAATTATGTTCTTATTTCTTTATTGAAAGCAGTATTATGTGGGTTTTATTAGAAACTTTAATAGTGTTAAAATATTCCAGTACCTGTGATAAAATTGATTAGTCATTTCCAAATCAACCAGTACACTAGTTTATTGTAAATTTGAGATATAGATAAGAATTTTCTAGTATTTCGCTATTCTTTGATTTCAACAAAAGATATCTATGAGATTAGATTTTTTCCTGAATTATTTCGATCGATCTTGCATAATTTTGTTAATTTCCATTTATCCACATTAGTTTCTTGATACATATCATATTTCCATTGCTAATTGTTTACTTTGTTATGCATGTACATTTAAATTTTAATGAACCTAATATTACAACAGGTATCACAGTTACCTATAATGATCTATTCATAAAAAAAGCATATATATCAGTTTATTTTGTTGGCCATGACTTTGTGTTGACTCAGGTATTTGTGGTGGATTACTATGGTGAATTTCATTCTCACAACAGCAATAATCTACTGCTATGATCTGTTATCTATTTGTTCATTAAATATTTTTTTCTGTAGTGATTTGTATTTAATTGGTATATGGGAGACATTTCTTCAGTAGTCAAAACTCCTGCCTGATACAGCCTTATAACTCTCTCTAATAAACTGCTTCGCTGAGCGCAGCTGGATACGCCCGCAAAGGTCCAACCCTGAACAGTTGGGGCAAAAATGGACACAATATTCAAGCTTGATACAGGTCTGAATTTGGATTGTATTTAAATATTTTACATATTATAGGTTTCTAATAAATCTAGTCAAAGAACTTGAAATTGGTTATATGAATTGAATTATTTCTTGCTGTTGTGTAATACACTGTGCTGTTGCGCAATACTTAGTAAATCTGTTTTCAGACTATAAACAAATAAAGTTCAATTAATTCTCAATGTCATATTAGAAATTTATGAAAATCAAAAGGGAGCTTACATCAATAGATATAAACAATTTACCAAAGTTTCATGAGAATTGCTGACAGCATTTTTGAGTTATTGTCCGAAAACTGGAAAATCCCCCCTTTTTTAATGAATAAAACCCCATAACTCAGAAATGTAAAATGTAAAATTTATAAAATTCTAAAGGGAGCTTACATCAATAGAAATAAACAATTCACCAAAGTTTCATAAGAACTGCTGAAAGCATTTTTTGAGTTTTTGTCCAAAAACTGGAAAATCCCCCTTTTTTTATGAATAAAACCCTGTAACTCGGAAACGTAAAATCTTAAATTTATAAAAATCGAAAGGTAGCTCATGTCAATTGATATAAACAATTCACCACAATTTCTTGCAAGTTGGTGAAAGCATTCTTGAGTTATTGTCCGAAAACTGGAAAATCCCCCTTTTTTTAATGAATAAAACCCCATAACTCGGAAACGTAAAATCTAAAATTTATAAAAAACGAAAGAGAACTCACGTCAATAGATATAAACAATTCACCAAAGTTTTATGCAAATTGGTTAAAGCGTTTTTGAGTTAATGTCCGACATGTTGACAACGGACAGACAGACGGACGGACGGACAGAGGTATACCATAATACGTCCCGTAAACGGGCGTATAAAAACCTGTTAGAAAATTGCTGTAGATATAAACCCTTAATATAAATTTCATGAGAATTGGGCATGAGGATGCCAGGTATTTTTATATCTCCTGCACTGTGTTGCAGAGGACAAAACACAAATTAAGTGTCATCAAATAAAGTAGCTGCCAACTGTAACTTGCGTATCATGTGCCAATGACTGCATGCTGGCTTCCTTATCATACAGACTGATGATGTTGGACCTTATCTATCACAGCAACATCTGTAACTAAGGGGCATAATCTTCACCAATGTTTCTCATTGCTTACACAGTACAACTCAGTATTATAAAGTTCCAGGCCATATATCTTATCATTCACCCCAAAAGGGAATTTAATTTATAAGAATATAATTGTATGAATATAATTATTGAAGTAGGCCTTCTTGACTAGGTAAACCACTGTTAAAGACTGACAGAATAGATGAGGAAATGGGATAATATTTTCATCAAACTTGGAAGAAATTGGATTTTGATGACATTCCACTATGACTTAATACTACTTCTTTATGCATTGTAGGTATTGAATATATTAGGTTAGTCATAGTGCATTGTTGTAAGGTATAATACTGTTTCTATACAGGTGTCCAAATTCCCAGAAACAAACAAAACAAATCACCTGTCTGGTGGTTACCTGTAGATCAGTTGCATATACTAATAGTTACTAATAGGTATAACGAAAAAACAGATAAAAACAAGATAAATGGAAATGTGTTTATTAGATATTGTAAATAAATATAATATCAACAAATTGATAAAAATTAGGTTACAACAAACTATTATCTGACTTCAAAATAAACAATTGCACTTTAAAACCTTTTCTATCAAAAACAAATTTTATGTTTAGTCCAATATTCATTATTCAAAAGTGTGAATAAAACTTCTTAATCTCTTTATTATTCTGAAAAAAAATTACCAAAAATTGAAGAATATTTATGCTAATTCCAGACATTTGTTTCCAATATATTTTCACACTATTCATTTTGACCTCCTTTTCAAAATTATAATAATTCTATGTTGTCTGATAATTCATTTAACAATTACATGTTCTACTAAAATGGCTATCATCAATCAAATCTAATTTTTTTATTCTGAGGCTCTCCATTTGAAGAGTCAAATTTCCTTTTCTGTCCTGAGAATCCATTTGACATTCCTCTTCCACCTCCTCTTGAACCTCTGCTAAAACCTCCACCCCCTCTTTGTCCTCTACCTCTTCCTCTTCCACCACTGCCCCATCCATTACCATAACCTCCTTTGTTACTAGATTCTGATTCTAAAAGTTCTGGTAGTGCTGTAGCTTTTTGTAAAGTGTCAAAATTTGTATCAGTCCATTTTGTTGCTACCTCGCTTTCAAACTCTGATGGTAAATCAAACACACTCGACTACAAAAATAAAGTAGTACAAAATTATTTAAGGAAAAATATATTCTATATAAATATCTTTTCCTCTTCATCATAGGTGGACGAAGAGGGGGGGCCACATATTTGGTTAATGGATAGACTTTTTACATGTACTTGAAGCCCCGCCCCCTTTTTTCAAAATCCTGGATCCCTATCTGCTCATGTTCTTTATTAATTATTCTTACCAGGACATTAAGTCTCTTTTTAAGGGGCAGCTTTTAGCAGTATCAGGGCTCTGTTACATTTTTCAAGATCAGGGTCTTTTTCACACGTTTTCAAAAACTCATTTCTCACATTTTTTTAATCAACTCAAACTGGACATTAAATTAGAACAGTACATTTTGTAAAAAAATATGGATGTAAAGATTTAGAAAATGAAATTACCTTTCATTTGGCTATGAAAAAACACATATACCTTTTGATAACATTGATAAACCTAAAAATTTACATAAAGAATTCAAACAAATCATCAGATTAAAACTAAGAATATGTGTACATAGTACAATATTTCCATATTCAGTGAACCATAAAATTTTGCTCAAAACCCTTAACAGTTCACTTAATAATGAACACAGACAACTTTAACTTTAATATTAAACCTTCTTTACACCAAAACTTGAACCTATCACATTTCCATGTTCAGGGACAGACACACAGGGATTTATGCACAGGTGGAGCCAGGACCCAAAACATAATGCTCCTCTTATATCTTATGCGGGATATATGAAAAAAAAATAAAAAAATTGGAGGCACTCTAAAAATTATACCCAGTTTTGGTCCTACAGCTTAGAAACTGTAAGAGCTACATGTACCATGAATTAGATTGCAAAAAGCATTCAGGGACTTTATCAAAATATTATACAAATAAAATGCTCCGCAGGGCGCAGCTTGATACGACCGCAGAGGTCGAACCCTTAACAGTTGGGGCAAGTATGGACACAACATTCAAGCTTGATAGAGCTTTGCATTTGGATTGTGATTAAATATTTGACACAGCATAGGTTTCTGACACAGAATGAATGTGGTCTAAGAACTTAAAAATTTTAAATTGGACATTCACCTATTATGGTCCAATATCCAAAATCTAAATACATGGTTAGATTCAGCATATCAAAGAACCCCAAGAATTCAATTTTTGATGAAATCAAACAAAGTTTAATTTTGGACCCTTTTGACCTCAATGTGGACAAAGTTGATAACGGGGCCCAAAAAACAAAAATCTAATTACATGGTTAGATTCAGCATATCAAAGAACTCCATATATTCAATTTTTGTTGAAATCAAACAAAGTTTAATTTTGGACCCCGATTTGGACCAACTTGAAAACTGGGCCCATAATCAAAAATCTAAATACATGTTTAGATTCAGCATATCAAAGAACCCTAAGAATTCAATTTTTGTTAAAATCAAACTAAGTTTAATTTTGGACCCTTTGGACCTTAATGTAGACCAATTTGAAAACGGAACCAAAAATTAAGAATCTAAATACACGGTTAGATTCGGCATATCAAAGAACCCCAATAATTCAATTTTTGATGAAATCAAACAAAGTTTAATTTTGGACCCTTTGGACCTCAATGTGGACCAATTTAAAAACGGGGCCCAACATCCATAAACTTAATACACGGTTCTAATCAGCATATTAAAGAACCACAAGAATTCAAGAATAAAACCCCATTGAAATTGGTCAAGAAATAAGCAATTTATACCATGTATCTTCTTTTGCACAATACTGTGCAATTGAATATTTCTTGCTATTGCGCAATACTGTACAATTGACAATTTCTTGCTATTGCGCAATATTGTGCTATTGGATATTTCTTGCTATTGCGCAATACTGTGCAATTGAAGATTTCTTGCTATTGCGCAATACTGTGCAATTGAAGATTTCTTGCTATTGTGCAATACTGTGCAATTGAAAATTCCTTGCTATTGCACAATACTTATTATATAATAATTTACACATCCTGTTTGGTGTGAATCTCCTACCATATCATTATTATTTGCTTTTAAATATAAATCAGAAATAACCAACTTAAAATGGAAAATTTTAAAAGAAAAAAAAAAATGAAAAAAAAAAAAAATCCCCCTCCCCCAAATTTTTTGAACCCCCTCATGATTCATCACCCCCAAACTCAATCCCAGCCTTCCCTTTGTGGTATGGTACCTTGCAGTACAATTTCAGAGAGATCCATACACTTGAACACAAGTTATTGTCTGGAAACTAGAAAAATGTGTTTTTTGGCCCCTTTTTGGCCCCAAATTCCTAAACGTTTAGGGCAATTACCCCCAAACTCAAACCCAGCTTTCCCTTTGTGATATGGAACCTTGTAGTACAATTTCAGAAAGATCCATACACTTACACACAAGTTATTGTCCTGAAACTAGAAAAATGCTTGTTTTTTGCCCCTTATTCCTAAAATATTGAGGCAATTACCCCCATCATCAATCCCAGCCTTCCCTTTGTGGTATGGTACCTTGCAGTACAATTTCAGAGAGATCCATACACTTGAACACAAGTTATTGTCTGGAAACTAGAAAAATGCTTATTTTTGGCCCCTTTTTGGCCCCCAATTCCTAAACGTTTCGGCAAATACCCCCAAACTCAATTCCAGCTTTCCCTTTGTGATATGGAACCTTGTAGTACAATTTCAGAAAGATCCATACACTTACACACAAGTTATTGTCCTGAAACTAGAAAAATGCTTGTTTTTTGCCCCTTATTCCTAAAATATTGAGGCAATTACCCCCATCATCAATCCCAGCCTTCCCTTTGTGGTATGGTACCTTGCAGTACAATTTCAGAGAGATCCATACACTTGAACACAAGTTATTGTCTGGAAACTAGAAAAATGCTTATTTTTGGCCCCTTTTTGGCCCCCAATTCCTAAACGTTTCGGCAAATACCCCCAAACTCAATTCCAGCTTTCCCTTTGTGATATGGAACCTTGTAGTACAATTTCAGAAAGATCCATACACTTACACACAAGTTATTGTCATGAAACTAGAAAAATGCTTGTTTTTTGCCCCTTTTTTGGCCCCTAATTCCTAAAATTTTGAGGCAATTACCCCCAAAATCAATCCCAGCATTCCTTTTGTGATATGGAACCTTGTAGTACAATGTCAGAGAGATCCATACACTAACACACAAGTTATGTTTGGAAGTTACAAAAATGCTTATTTTTGGCCCCTAATTCCTTAACTGTTGGTACTATAACCCCCAAAATCAATCCCAACCTTCCTTTTGTGGTATTGAACCTTGTGGTAAAATTTCATAGAGATCCATTCACTTAAACTAAGGTTAGAGTGCGAAAACCAATGTGTCTTCGGACGACGACGACGATGACGCCAACGTCATACCAATATACGACCACAAAATTTTTTTTGCGGTCGTATAAAAACACCCATATATTCGAATTTTCAATATCACTAGTATTTCCAAGGGCACAACTCTCATAAAAATAATTGATCTGCACTTATTTCTCAATTCATCTATATAGCAGCTAAAGTAAACATTTGACATTAATTGAATTAAACCTGAATGAAAAATGTAAGTCCCAGAGGGCTTGTGATTTTGATCACTAATATTATTTACATTTTAAAGGGTTTTAACACCCCAAAAAATATTCTCCATCTCTGATGTTCTAACCTGCCGGAGAGGTTTCCAATGTAATTGTATTAAAATCTAATAATTACATTAGATGTATTTTTCATTATTATACGTTATTTTGATTGGCTAACAGCAATCTTGCGTCATTCTTCATTTCAAAATGAATTGCATTAATTGAAACATACATGATGACATCCGTTTCCACAATAAAGTGCACAGGTAAAAAAAAGAAAAACTTAATAGAAATCGTGTTTTCGTGATCATAGCGAAAAAATGTAATTATAAGTATTGAATGCTTCTTTTAGTAATTTCATAGGGGTGTAAAAGCATTGACCGTGTGTACATTACGCGCTTCATACAAAATGTACTTTGGTCAACGCTTTTCAACCCCAATGAATTTACAAAAAGAAGCATTCAATTCTTAAATGAGAACTGAAGGTGTGCAAGCACTTACAATTCTGATTTTTTTTTAATATTATTTACACTTTCAGTAGCACAAGTACCCAAAATATAATTAATCAGCCTTGATTTTCAATCTCATCCTAGATATCTCAGACATAAATTCTATTGAACTACAACGTGAAATGATGGCACAAAAGCACTAACAATGCTGTTTTCAATTTTATTTACATTTCTAAGGGATATAACTCCCCCAAAACTAATTGGTCCTGATTTTTAAACTTGTTCAAAATAATGCTGATGTTAACCTTTTAAAAATATTGTAATAAAATTTAAAACCTTTTAAAAACATTGTAATAAAATTTAATCAACTCAATATGTGAAGGAGTTTAGAAAGAAAGTCTGTATAACTGTTCGTTGAAAGCAAAATGAGGGAAAGATGGATTGCCGGAATGACAGATAAGGGTAAAACTATATGGCCACGACCACTTTGAGGCTGGGCCATAAAAACAAAAACAGCATTAAAACCCACCAGAAAATTTTGGGATAAAAGGTAACTAAAATGTTTTAATGAACTCAAGACAGGTACTTTATATACATTTCCTTATAAAATAAGAAGATGTGGTATGATTACCAATGAGACCAAATGGCATAGGATTTAACAACTATAGGTCACTGTAAGGCTTTCAAAAATAAGCAAAACCTATACTGCATAAAAAAGCCCCAAAATGACCAATTCAAACAAAACACAAAAGACAAACAGTACAGATCTGTTCACTGAACCCCAAAGTTTGGGTCAAAGCCCTATTTTCAAGAGATTCTAAAAAGTTAACATTATAATGAATATTTGGGATAAAAGTTAACTAAATGTTGAAGTGAACTCAAGACAGGTATTTTTATACAATTTCACATTTCTATGTTCAATGAACCCCAAAGGTTGGGTCAAAGTCCTAATTTTAATATATTTTAAAAAGTTTACATTACCAGTATAATGAGAAAGACATTAGTGTACAAAGTTTTATATTTCATGGTTAACCACCTCAAACAAATACTTAAAACCTGATACAAGATGGACAGATGAACAGAAACAGACTGGAAAACATAATGCCCCCTACTATCAAAGGTGGGGCATACAAATCATTGGCCAATCTAACTAAGTAGTGGAGGAGATCTAGGTAGCTAAGCATTCATCACCAGTTTATACAAATAACTTCAGAAAAAACTACGGCAAATGTTAAGCATTTCTTCCACTTATCTGGGGAAATAGTATGGGGGTTTTAATCTTCCACTATGGTACAGTTAGTCAGTTACTTGCAAAAAATTTGAGGGGTTCTTCAATATCCTCCACTTGATAATATGGCTACCATGATATTGATTGTTTATAAAATGGCTTCTAAATTCTGTTAAATAAAGACAAAAATCAAATTAAACTTTTTCTGTTTAAAGAGAGCTTGATATATTATTGAATATGGAAATGGAGATTTGGGGAAAATCTTTTACTATTTTTTTATTTAGACAACCCCCCCCCACCACAATTTAAGCTCATTATTCATTTATACAATGTATATTAAATACAGTGTTGACACCAAAAGAATTTTTCAGCGTGTCTAAACTAGGAAGAGAACTAGAATATTTGACATTAGTGACCCAACAAGGACACAGATAAAAATCTTCAGATTAGTGGTTCAGACCAGGCCAATGTAGAACTACATAGCTTTGTCAATAATGTAAACAAACGTTATGTAATCACTATCTTATATTTGGATTATGATAACACATTTTTCATTTATCTGAACAATATACAGGGTATATGGACTTTTGTTTGTCAATTCTATTGAGAAATCTGTATCCACTGAACTATTTATTAAAATTGATTGTTTAGTTCGTAAATCCTATAAAAAAATGTATCCATGAACTACTGTAATCAATAAGAAAAATATCATACATTAAGCATTATTATGTTAAATTTTTCCTGTGTGAAATAAGCAGAGGTAAAATATGCCATATTAGGATTGGTCATCGCTTGCAAAGTAAGGTTAATATTGATTTAATGCCCAGCTAATATTCTTTCAGAATGTATTTTGATTTTTACTGACACATTGTCTAGTGATGTTGCACCCACATGCTATACTGGTTGCTATATACCAAAATCCCATGTCAAAGGATAATAAAATGCTCCGCAGGGCGCAGCTTGATACGACCGCAGAGGTCGAACCCTGAACAGTTGGGGCAAGTATGGACACAACATTCAAGCTTGATACAGCTCTGAATTTGGATTGTGATTAAATATTTGACACAGCATAGGTTTCTGACACAGAATGAATGTGGTCTAAGAACTTAAAAATTTTTAAATTGGACATTCACCTATTATGGTCCAATATCAAAAATCTAAATACATGGTTAGATTCAGCATATCAAAGAACCCCAAGAATTCAAATTTTGATGAAATCAAACAAAGTTTAATTTTGGAACCTTTTGATCTCAATGTGGACAAAGTTGATAACGGGGCCCAAAAATCTAAATACATGGTTAGATTCAGCATATCAAAGAACCCCATATATTCAATTTTTGTTGAAATCAAACAAAGTTTAATTTTGGACCCCGATTTGGACCAACTTGAAAACTGGGCCCATAATTATCAAAAATCTAAATACATGTTTAGATTCAGCATATCAAAGAACCCTAAAAATTCAATTTTTGTTAAAATCAAACTAAGTTTAATTTTGGACCCTTTGGACCTTAATGTAGACCAATTTGAAAACGGAACCAAAAATTAAGAATCTAAATACACGGTTAGATTCGGCATATCAAAGAACCCCAATAATTCAATTTTTGATGAAATCAAACAAAGTTAAATTTTGGACCCTTTGGACCTCAATGTGGACCAATTTAAAAACGGGGCCCAAAATCCAAAAACTTAATACACGGTTAGATTCAGCATATTAAAGAACCCCAAGAATTCAAGAATAAAACCCCATTTAAATTGATCAAGAAATAAGCAATTTATATGAAGTATCTTCTTTTGCACAATACTGTGCAATTGAATATTTCTTGCTATTGCGCAATACTGTACAATTGACAATTTCTTGCTATTGCTCAATATTGTGCTATTGGATATTTCTTGCTATTGCGCAATACTGTGCAATTGAAGATTTCTTGCTATTGCGCAATACTGTGCAATTGAAGATTTCTTGCTATTGTGCAATACTGTGCAATTGAAAATTTCTTGCTATTGCACAATACTTATTATATAATAATTTACACATCCTGTTTGGTGTGTATCTCCTACCATATCATTATTATTTGCTTTTAAAAATAAATCAGAAATAACCAACTTAAAATGGAAAATTTTAAAAGAAAAAAAAAAAAGGAAAAAAAGAACCCCCCCCCCCCCCCCCAAATTTTTTGAACCCCATTATGATTCATCACCCCCAAACTCAATCCCAGCCTTCCCTTTGTGGTATGGTACCTTGCAGTACAATTTCAGAGAGATCCATACACTTGAACACAAGTTATTGTCTGGAAACTAGAAAAATGTGTTTTTTTTGGCCCCTTTTTGGCCCCCAATTCCTAAACGTTTTGGGCAATTACCCCCAAACTCAATTCCAGCTTTCCCTTTGTGATATGGAACCTTGTAGTACAATTTCAGAAATATCCAAACACTTACACACAAGTTATTGTCATGAAACTAGAAAAATGCTTGTTTTTTGCCCCTTTTTTGGCCCCTAATTCCTAAAATTTTGAGGCAATTACCCCCAAAATCAATTATAGCCTTCCCTTTGTGATATGGAACCTTGTGGTACAATGTCAGAGAGATCCATACACTTACACACAAGTTAATGTCTGGAAGTTACAAAAATGCTTATTTTTGGCCCCTTTTTGGCCCCTAATTCCTTAACTGTTGGTACCATAACCCCCAAAATCAATCCCAACCTTCCTTTCGTGGTATTGAACCTTATGGTAAAATTTCATGGAGATCCATTCACTTAAACTAAAGTTAGAGTGCGAAAACCAATGTGTCTTCGGACGACGACGCCAACGTCATACCAATATACGACCAAAAATTTTTTAATTTTTGCGGTCGTATAAAAAGTTATATCTTAGACAGGAAAATGTCCAATATCTATTTTTTTTACGTTGTGGTAAAAGTCCATGATCTGTGCATCATGTTCTCAATTGGTTTCATTTGGGATAGAAACACAATATAGATGTCAGACACCAGTATGATGATTATTTCATTACTGGTTTCTTAACATCCGTTATTCAAATATAAATAAACGCTGCTTTGTACTAACCAGACTTTTTATATGCTAGCTCACAAGGTAACAGGAAAGCATGTTACTTTACCTAGATACATTACTCGACGCTTCATTTTAAAATTATAATTTATATCTCTCAAATTTGAAGGCAATTGGACCTTTCTAGAAATTTTTATTTTTTTCCCCCTGAATTTTTGTTAAATTGTTAATGTTATAGCCAAGTTCTAAGAGATAGTGGTGACCATGTTTGTTTGCAATTGGGTAATAGGGAGATTCCCTCAACACAAGTAAAGCTAGTTTACCTCACATGTGTGAGCAGCTGCAATCAATTTGCAGACAAAAAAGAGAAATGTTGAGCATGTTAAAGGCTTGACTTTAATAAGAAATTGAACATATTTACCATTTTGTCTTTACAAAATCTCATTCTCATTGCTTTTTCTTTGATTTCCTCTGGTAACTGTTTCTCTAGTGCCCTCCAAACATAACTCATTGTTCTCATTTCCATGTTTGTTGTAAATATATATGTTGTGAAACCCTGAAAAAAATTAGAATTTTGTGAGCTCTGTAATAATAACTTCTTCCAAATCCAAATCATGACAAAACAGATTAATACATATTGTTCAGGTCCTTACATAGATTGCAAACTTTAACTACACCATGTACTATACAGCATACTAATCAACACCTTTAAGAATGTTATAAATGTGCAAATTTAATTGTATCTTTATCCAAACATGTACTTAACTATCATAAACTTTACATATCCGTAGAGAAGAAGGAAATAGATTTGACCCCCTCCTTCCCCTGCATGGACATATTCTAATCTGTTTAAACTTCTTAAATCTTTTTTTGAAAAATATGATGCTTCAGTGGACTTCCTGTCAAAGTTTTTTTCAAAATAAGGCAAAACAAGTGTCATAAATTTAGTACCATCTCTTTAGTTAAAGAATAAGGCAATAAAAGTGACGCTAGGGAAATGTTTCTGGGATCAATTGAGACACACTTACATCATAACAACTACTGTAGTGAAGATATCAGTCATGTCAGAACTGGAGTTTGTAGCAGTTATTTGTTGTTTTTGAAACCTATTTTTCATTGGTGCAGTTCTATAAAATGGAATGTCACAATTTACTTGGTGAGTATCAAAGGAAACAAAAAACAGTTGTTTGTGGTAAATAATTCCTTATCTTTTGTTTGTCAGACTTGTGTTTTGTGACAGACATTTTTCAAATGTGCAAATGCAAATAGAGCACTAACACTCCTTGAACAAAACAAATAGCCTTACAATTCTTTCCCAATCAGTAATAAGCCTCTGGAAACCATGTTTTAATATTTGTTTGAAATGAAGTGGGGATATATATGACTACACATCGATTATTCCTATAAAATTTGGTTTCAATTGATCCAATGATTTCGGAAGACATATTGAAAATTTGATCAGTACAGCAGGAGGATGAATTGACGACAGACAGTAAGACAATAGGTACTTTGCGAGCTCAAAACCCAAATTAAACTGATGATTTTAAGTAGGGGGATTTTGTTTATCCTATTCAAGTCGGATGTTTTTGCCTTCTGTAAGCATTTTTAGTAGTAGGCCTTCTTTGACAATTTCTAATCTTTGCAAGGCCAAAAACCAAATGCATTGTAAGAACAATGGTCAAGGAGTTTTTAAAGATTTGCGAACTTTCTGCAGTCATATCTTTAATAGTACTATCTGTTGTTACATCATTATCTACACATATAGCCAGTTAAGGTATAAACACACCCATCATTATCTACACAAAATAAACAGTGGTTGTTTTTATGTCTCCATGGCATTAAATAACATGCCAACTATAATTATACCTTGTCATGCCTTAACTTTAAATATGAAGTAAATTTACAATTCTGGATGTAATTAGCATCTAGCTCTGCCGACCAACCAAAGCTCTTTATAGAAATCAGAAATAAAATTAACAGAATGAGAAATTAGTTAATACAACCAGAAATTATGTTGGTTCTTGAATTAATGGCCATACATATTATCTGGAATTAATGGCCATACATATTATGTTTTTTTTTTACAGAATATAATGGAATCAACAATCTTAAGTGCCCCAATAACCCTGTACCATTTATCTGGATAGTGTGTTTTTCGTTATTGATTTTCTTTGTTTGTATAGAAGTCTGTATTGGTGGTTGGTGTGGTCAGTTGTACTGTCCAGTATTTTTGGTGATTCCTGTTTTTAATCTATTATCTGATACACATAAAAGTTATTATAACCACACTTTTTGGTAGTGGGCAACAATAATATCAAGGCATTCAAACCTTCAGAGTCGGACACTAATATTTCAATATATAGATGTCAATGACAGACTTATCATTATGAGAAAGGACTTGAGGTGAAGTGGACACTTGATTATATTTCATTGTACTCTATTACATATCTCACCATGATATAGCCTTTTTGTGCTGATTGGGCTTTAAAATTTACCAATCAATCAATCTATCCCATTTCACTATCTTGGTTTATAAGAAATTAAGCTTAGAAATTAGCTCATTTTGTATTTTGTGATGTTATCACCACATTGACTTAATCATTTATTGCAGAATGTGTTGGTGCAAATAGGTGAACCAAGTTTGTGACCTTGGCATTGCAGACAGACATTTCAATCTTATTCATGAGGCCACACACCATCTGGTGGTGTGTAAAAAATAACATCAAACATTCAAAAATTGTGAGTCCACATGACTTTGTACACTAGAACATAGAAATAAAGGAATTCATGATACCCTTTTTCACATTTAATAGACATTTGGATTGAACCAAAGTTTACAGCCACTGTATTATCTAAGAAAGAAAAATTTCCAAATTACTGTTGATTTTGTTTATACAAATTCGTAAATGCACTATAATATTATGTTACAAATTAAATACTTAATTTATTAATATGGAACAAGTGTCTGATAAAAGTCAATAATAATGTTACTCATAAATCGATATACACCTAATAATAGACCATACTACAGGTCACCCTGTTCAGTGAGTGTCCCAGCAAAGATTTTCTGAAAATCTTGTTTGTCAAATAGTTTTACCTGTTCTGACCTACTTAGTAATATCTACATTTACCTATAGGACTAATACGATTTTATAGAATTGTATTTCCTGAATAGGCTCGGTTGATTTTACAAAGCATTGGCTTACAGTTTTATAAATAATTCAATCCGGGACAAATATATACATTACTTCTAGCAAATGTTCTTATATTTAAGAAAATTTAAAGTGACATGGTTTCATGAAATAGGAAGTTTATAAATAGATAAAACAAAATGACATTAACTTATTCAGATTTGAAGAATTTGGTCTCATGTTGTGTCTGTAGTTGCATTATCCACATGAACTAAATAAAATAAATATTCACCTGAAATATTAAAAAATAAATGGGGAATGTGTCCATGGGACACAAATGATGCCCCTGCTTGCATATAAAGTTATAAAGAAATATAACTCAAGAACTGTAAAAGTGACGCTACCCAAATTTGTACTTGATCTGAGTTTTGGGGTAATAAGCATTTTGCATAAGTTTCATAACATTTGGTTGAGGTAAACTAAAGTTAGAGAACAGAAACAAATATTTCAGGAATTTTTCCATTTGTAATGGGGCATAACTCTAGAACGGTAAAAGTGACACCACCAAAATTCAAACTTGATCTGTTTTTTTGTGGTAATAAGCATTGTGTATAAGTTTCATAACATTTGGTTGAGGCAAACTAAAGTTAGAGAACGGAAACCAATTTTGGGACGTACGGACGTACAAGGGTAAAACTTAATGCCCCCTCCCCTAAGGTGGGGCATAAAAAAAACCAACAACAAAAACTTTACTATCAACATGACCTAGTCAATGATAATGTCTATCCATTTATTACAGCAACCCCTTCTAGATCATCTGGAAGCCTCAAATCTAGAAAAAAAATCAGGAAAAAAACAAACACTTGAACACTGAAGGTGAAAGTACCAGTACTGAAATTAAATCTTGACATGTTTTTTAATGGTCAATAACATTCAATTAAAAATCAGCTCATTTGATTCATTAGTTTTCACGACCTGTATAATAGATCTCTTTACACTTTTGGTATTTAGCTGAATTTAGTCCCCGAATGACCCTAGATCTGTCTCCAAATAACCTTCTGACTTCAAGCAATAATAACTTTTTAATGATGGCCTCAAATTGTTATGCAGCATTTTATAGGCCATTACTTAAAATCACAGGCACTTGTCTCTGAAAAAAATTACCAACATACTTTAATATAACATGTTATATTAAAGTATATCGGTAATTTTTTACAGACAAGTGCCTGTGATTTTAAGTAATGGCCGGCAAATTTGAGTACTAGTGTAGCTACGTCTAAAACAGTCCACAGATAATTTTTCAGAAAATAAAAGACCAAGTCTCTAGAATGATAAAAGAAAATGTAGGAAAATTGAACTTGACCTAAATCTTGTGGTAAAAAATTTCAGTCTTCAAAGGCAGAAATGTGTTGCCTACGGTCTCCAGTTAATATATTAAAGCAGAAATGGTGATGTCCATGTTTTATTATGAGACACTCCCAAAATATATCGGATTGAATTGAAATAGCAGAAGAGTCATTTCCTGTAAAAGAATCTGTGTAAGAATAGTGGTATATATATATTCTGTTCAGTTGTTTTCAAGGACATGTAAGCAAAAGTGTCCATGTTTTGGTATGGGTAAACCCCAAAATTACTCAAATTACAAATTTAAATAGCAGGTACGCAACCTATTGTCCTGGGGAGGAATCAGTGCAAGTTTGGCTGAATTCTGTAAAGCTGTTGTCAAGGAGTTGCAGATTAACAAAGTGTGATATGGACGACACTGACAACAATGCCAACTACAGAGGGACAACAATGACAATAAAGCAGACGACAGAGTGTTCCTGAAGTGTTACTACAAGCCATCATTAAAATTTCAATCCATATCGTTAAGCTCTCTGTATCATCCAGAAACTAAAAAAATGATTTTTCAGAAAATAAAGAACATATCTCTGAAAATAGTGGAATAAGTAAAAATATGGAAGTTGACCTGTAATTTGTAGTCAATAACATTCCATTAAATTTAACCTCTTTGGTTCAGTGGTTCTCTTTGTATAATCCAGAAACCACATAATAAACCATGTTTTCAGAAAGTAATTAAGGAATTATGTGGATTCAATAACAGTGAAATTAATGAAAATCATTCATAATATTCCATTCAATATTCCATTCAAGTTTGAAATTTTTTTAGTCCTGTGGATTTTTGTAATTGTTGAAATTTTTGGAGAAATAAGGAAGGGTCTGGAAGGGGGTCCTTCATTTCTGTATTCTTTAATTTTTTACGCCATTTTTCTTCATTCTTAATACTTTTTGCCCATTATTCTCTATTCTTTATATTTTTACGCCATTTTTCTTAAGGGGATCATTTTATACCTGTAACCCCATTCAAAGGGAATAATCATGTTATAATAACCTTAAAAACCAAACAAACTGCACAATACATATA